CTTTAAATAAAGCAATGACTGTTTCCGTAAATGAAGGAGACAAAAAAGACTGATGGTCAAAGCGTTATAGTACGCCTCAMACACAGAAGGATATTTTTGAATTTGAAACCGCATATTTTTCACGAGTTTAGGCCGATTGGTAAATTAACACGATAACACTAAAAACAATGACCGTATCTGTATATTTTGAAAAAAAGAAGATAAAGAAAAACCATTAGTGATCGCTTTTGTGTAAACGCAAAAAAAGAATGTGTTTTTTGTGGTTTTAAAAAGTTCTTAGTCACACACGAGCCGAATTCAATATTGAAATATGAGATATGAGAAGAAAAGCTGGACTATTACTTTTCACGTAGTTCGACGACGAAATATGTGGCGATTTGAAGAATTTGATCAGTGCCTTGGAAAAATGACATGGGCAAATTCTTTGGTGGCTGCGCCTTAAATTTAGATTGTACCGATCCTTTAAGGTTAAAATCGCCGTATGGTCTCAGCCACGCCAAATCTATCCAGGAGAGAAGACTTAGGATATCTTACGCCTACCAAATAACCAATTACTAAGATATTACCCACTAATACTAAGAATTAACCTCAGGTAATCCAGAGTATGGGATGACTTTGATCCTATTTAAACAATTATGTCCTCATAAAAAATGAATTTCACGCCAGCGAGGTAAAAATTTACAATTTACGATCTTTTGCTTCAATTACATTTGTGAGCTTGACGTGCTGATCAAAATAAAGAAAAAGAATAAATATTACACTCGATAAAAATCCGTTGAATAATTTCGAGAATTACTAAATAAACGAGTAATTTGTACAACATTTCGAGTCGTAAACGTAGGCATAATTTCATCGAAGGTCCTATGACGACACATTTGTTGTGGCGCAGTGCATCATGGTTTTGATAAAAGCATCAAGATGGCGGATAAACCAAGGACGCAGTTTTGGTTTAAAATGTCAATATTTGTACTTGGAAAAGGCAACATATATCAATAGCTGTTTTCCAAAAAAGTTGTTCTGACGATTGGAGAGTGCACGACCGAAAGTTACTATGGGCCGTATCATTGTTGACAATATTCACTATAAAGGTCGTCAATAGCGCTKTTTTCATTACCAGTTAATGTAGATCTAACAGATCTGTCATGTTTTTTCCCGTTATTTGTTTTAAGGGAAAACTATCCATCAAGAACTATGAACCATAGTGAATTTCAGTCGAGCATTCGGTATTTTATTTGAGACGTTGAAAATCTATCGTATGGATTTGAAGCATCTTTCGGTACTTAAAATTCGTCGCTCGCAGCGAGAWAAATAGCATTCCGTGTTATTTTTCAGCTACAAAATCTTTTTAACTCGAGGGAGTGTATGTATGATAAATAATTAATATTATGTTAATAATGAGTTCATATAAATAAATGAGAATCGAACGGGTCCCCTGTGGAGAGAGTTGATTGACTAAATGGTTTAATAAACACGAGGGCGTCGGTCAATTTAGTATAATCTTCAGCGGTCACTATCAAAAACCCACAGTGAAAACATATATTTCAAGTATTGGCGGTGTCTCGATGCCTAATAGTTGATTTAATTTGTCCMAGTTGATCGAGATAATATATTTTTCTTATTTTTGATTATTCTATTACTTGTGCTGGGTATGATTTTGTTGCCGTTGTATTTTTACACGTTTTTTGGTTTTGTTTTGTTTCAGCTTATTTTTAATGTTTCCTTAATTTCGTTTTGCCATGTAGGCTTTGTGATTTCTGTTTTGCTGGTTTCAGGTTATATGATTTTATYTCTTTGATTTTCGTTAGGATTTCGTTTTGTTCCGTTCGGTTTCGTTCTGTTTTACTAGTTTATATTTTCTGAGCTTCGTTTTTCATTGCATCGTCATGTTTTCGACACTTTTTTTATTTCTATTGTTTGTTTAATTTTTTTGCTACATTTCGGTTTTTTTAAACTGTTTCTTAGCAATTGTGTTTATTTCGCTGACAATTTTAATTTCCCAGAAACTTGTTTTTTAGTTAGACTTTTTTTTAYGAATCTTAAAATCCCCATAACTCAGTCATAGATGTGACCACTGGAGTTGAAATAATTAATAATCATTAATAATAGTTAATAATTCAAACAATATTCCAGGTTCATTTGATTCTTGAAGTTTATTCACAAAGATTTATAACAAAGGAGCAGTTTAGTAGTTACGACTTTATTTGTCAAACTKGTTTTCATTCTAGTTGGCAATCAAATATTTCTCTAAAGCATGAAAAAGTATCCTTTGTTTCTGTACAAGATGACTGAGTTATTTGCTTAAATATTACAGACAATTTCAGAAAGGTTGACCACGTTAATCCTGACACAATACCATGATGCACTTCGCCACAACAAACATGGCGTCATATAAGGGCTTTATCAGGACAACCTTTCGAAAATTGCTGAAGCTTAAAAAAGGCTTTAGATTTTTACTAAATTATCTCAAATTGTCACTGGTTGGACCTAGTGCTTTAGAATCTGTGATTTTTAAGTAATGTATACCATCTTGCATTGCGAAATTGATATCAGGGTTACACTGGCTAAACCATTATTTCAAAAGTTTAAAAATAAAATTAAAAAAAAAAATGAAAGTGATAAAATATGAAGTACTTCTACCATCGTAACGTTTTTTCTCAGTGATATTTACAACTTAGTCATTATACATCACTCCCTTTCGGAGTTTGTGCATTGCTTATACACATTGATTAATATTTATACAAATTATGCGCCTTTCACGGAAAGCTAATTACTCGATATATTTCAAAGAAATAAAACAAAGCTCAGGCATTTGGGCTTTACTATAGTTAATGGTTYTTAATGTCGGGATATTTTAACTGTCCATGATTACGTTGAAGTCCAGTTTAGTAGGTTGTTTAAGTCATGTTTAAGTTTGTTTATCGTGTAAGCTTACGTTACCAATCACTAGCAAAAATATAGCGTTAGTCTATCAGCGACTGCACGACCGAAGGTAACTGTCGATTGATGGATAATTTTCACTGGTCTGCTGAAATGCGACGCGCGAACTTAACTTGAAAGACCTGAAACCACCACCGAAAATCTTATATAGTGAAAACGTTTTGATTGCCCTACGTGGTTGAATATTAGCATAAGTAATTGTTCCCATAGTGCCTTTCGGTCGTGCTTTCTCCAATCTCTCCTCCAACCTTTWGAAAGAGCTGTATCGAATACGCGACAGCCATCTTGGATCGAGCTGCTTTCGATATATATATACATTCCATAATGTAACATTATGAAGCTAAAAAATAAGCATGCTCAGTGTTGCTTGAGCAGGCTTGGTTGCACAATTACTTCTCTCCTTTAACATTATTTGCAATTGAGAAATCTGATGAGAATGCTCGCAACCAACCCACACTCGATCAACATCAAGGCTRGGTTAATAATTCGTTGCCGAGGCAACACAAAGTGAGAATTTCTACTACTTAAGTCSAACTTTTAAAAGTTTAAAATCGTTTTAAGTTTTTGTTTATCTTTGCGTGTACGTTTATAGTGAAATGTYATCTTTATATATTACTATTATTTCATGTTGTCTAAAGGTCAAGTAAAAACCTCTTTGTCTGTGATCAATATTTATCAATTATTAAATTATTTATTTTGCAAGTGTCAGTTGTATTTAAGACTTATTYAGTATTTTAGTATCGTCGTCAGTTCATATACTGGTTTAATATATTTGTCTCGTGATGTCAGTCGTAAAATACGTCACTATGGTAACATTCATATCAATTACACATGCGCATTATTTAACAGCAGTCACATGTCAATTTTATATCCCRAGCCCGCGACACTTTGTGTCTGCGTTCAGRGTTGAGAGTCGTRTCATGACAGAAAGTAACGCGRGYTCAGGGTACGAATTTGYCAGCTAGTACAGCGCATACGCCAGGTATTGCGCAATAATGGCGCGGGTTAAAAATGCAAATTTCTAAAATATGAAACTACTATAATTGTATAAACTAGACCCAAGCCTCCGAACCTTCTGAGCCTCTTCTTCCTGAATGTAGGAACTTGACTCCCGGGACATTATCGAGTGATTCYTTCTCTCCGATTCCACTATCGTTTGAGTTAGCGACTCCATATCGATTACCTTTGAGTTCGGTCGAGTCTCGTTTCCGTCTACGATTTCTGCRAGAAAGATACGAAATAAATAACTTCGTCGAAACGCCTTWAGCCAACATCCAATTAGCCAATTAAATCATCATCATCCAAATAAGGAATCTATCATCCTAATATGGTAGTGATGAATAATTACGTACCTTACTATTAATACAACTATGATAATAACAAATGCAAAGAGAATTATCCCTGCAAACACGCCTCCAAATAGCGAGCCCGAGTCCACCTCGCTCTCGCGTCGTGCTGTGTCGGACACTGAAGCTAAAAAGAAAAACCCRAGCAGGTTAAATATGGTCAAGAAGGGCCGTCACGCAATGATTAACAAACGTGACGAATTGAGAAAGTTGTGATTGCGTTACAGGGGCAGCTTTGTCTCCCAAACATTTCCTTGCGTCATCTAGTTTGTTAATTTGTTCTAAAAATTGTTTTAGCTTAGCATTTATCGGGCTAGAGGTACAACATTGAAATTGTAAATTGAAATTGTATTGAAAGCAATACTCCAGTTTCGAATTCTCCAATGCTCTGTGTTAGCCTCACTTATGCGCAAAATATTTCTTAGTTGTGAGCGTAAAAGTGTGAGATTTCAAATCAATTCTATTGTCTTTCGTTTCAAATTCCATGCGTTTTCTCGAGCTATCAATGAAACAAAAGAATATGTTACTTGGTTTTGAGGCTAACACAGAGCAAACCAGAACTCGAAATTGGAGTATTGATATTTTTTTCTGCATGACCAACATCTTGACTTTAAGCTTGCGAGCATTCAAAGAAGGTTGAGAGAGCGATTCGAGACCGACGACCAAAAGTTACCATGGTTACTGATAGTTGTTCATAGTTTGTTCATAGTAGAGGAAGACTGTGTTTGCTTAGGTGACCTTATCCCTCGGGCAAAATTTCAAATCCAAACAACTTTCGGTAGTCCCATCGCCATTCTCCTCAGACAGCCTTCTTTGAAGAGCTACATGGCTGTATAAGGTTAAGCAGCGAAGTGCCGAATGTTCTGTCATGAATTTCCGTGAAGGATTTTAGTGAGTTTAAGTCTAGTATACGGTTAATATAGAGGATTTAAAAATGTCAATTTTGAATAATTGTTTGGTATTGTAGTGCTGATGGAGGCCCTGTCAGTCCAAGTTTTAGATTTCGAGTTTCCTGGAAACTGAACCGGAATTTCCCGCCTTAAAACTATAGAAAGCATACAGTTCGAAATTCGACGTACAAAATGCAAAAGCATCGAAGTAGATTAGAATTAATTACATTCTCTACACCAATCTTTCTACACACGAAAGCCCCAAAAAGCCTCAAATGGGCACTGTGCAGCGACGCCATTTTGTGCAACAAAGCATGATGGGAGCAGTCGTCCTCGCACTATTTCATGACCGCTAAAACAGTCTTTCTAAGCCGTTTTCGCTTTTGCTAAGTAAAAACAGAAGTAGTTGTTCTGTTTCTACAAAGAAAACATAAAAACTGCTTTTAAGGAGATATTTTAGGATCTAGTGTGAGCACCACAACTCCCATCATGCTTTGCTGCACAAAATGGCGTCGCTACACATTGCCTAGCGTGCTGACAATTGAAACCTTTATAGCACTGAAAAACTCAGATTGGYATCAGTGGACTGGAAACCAAGATGTTGGTAAAGCAGAATGTGATGAGATTTTACGTCGATTTACTTTCGATTCAGTTGTCATTTTCAGTTTTAATTTTAATAAAATATTTTCCATCCTAAATATCTTAGTAATTTATTRATAAGTACACTCTTAGAACGAGATAGCTTTCATCCAGTCGCCTCACACCAAGGCATTATGGGAAGGGAGAGTCTGCCTAACCAAAATGCCTTGCGAAACAAGAGAGACGATCAAGTAAAAGAGGCTAGAAAAATATTACGTGGCATAAAATCAATTTATACGATAAAATACGAACAAGAACAAAAACAAATGGGAACGMTACAATGAACAAATCGTGGCACAATTAATTCAAGACGAATTAACGAGAAAACAAGAGGAAAATTGGAACTTTTGTTCACGTTTTTTTTAACATGAGGAGAAAATTTATTTTATAATTAATAACGAAGAAGACATACTTTCACGCCTTTTACTTAATATTGTGAACAGTGCATTGCACCAGAAAACAGTTAACAGTTAGATTCTTCTCAGTACAACACAACACCGTGAACTATGTGAAACAGAATGCGTTACTTTATTTACGTCACGAACAGATTATCAGTGCAATTAGAGTGATTACCGTACGTCACGCATGTAACACAACAAGATTAGAGTATGTTAGAAAGATTGARCGTAGGTTAGTAATTAAAACTAACAACTACCAGATGGTGTAGAGGTGGACTGAGACCAGGTACCAGCATGCACTACTGTCGTGTAGACGTCACGAGCAAGGAGATCAGTAGAAGAGTGGACAGTWGAAGTAGTATTCGTGTTCWTAGTAATACCTGGATGGGGCAAGCAAGCACACACAAACATGCAAGTTGTTCAAAATTAGTTGTAGTTAGATTTTATAATTTTATAAAGTAGATTACATTCAAGATGGAACGATATTAGGGACTGTTAGAAACAATTTAGTCGATGCTTTTTTTTTTGATTTGCTGCTAGCTTTATATTTTTTTATAATATTTTAATTTTGRTAGGTTAAACCCTACGAAAGGTTTAAGAGATTTGGAAGAATAACACTTTCTTCTTGAGTGTCTGCTTTGACAGTTTGATGGTTTTTGTTGTTCAAATATTTCTCGTTTGCCCTGCGGCTTTGAGCTATTCATATATCAAGATCTTAAATCAAACAGTACAGAGTGGCTTCACTTACCTTTCGATCCAGTGGTAACAAAAACAGGCTCACTATAAGGCCCTGGATATATCGTATAAGCTCTCACCTAATAAAACAATCAGAGAATTAAAAAAAATGAAGGATTTGGGTAAGGAAGAAAAAGAGGAGGAAAGAAAAAAAGGGTTGGGAAAAAATAAAAAAAAATGAAATGAGCAGAAAAATAGAAGAAGTGGAGGAGACAAGGAGGACAAAACGGAGGTTTATTAAGACGGATGAAAGAAAAGATGGATGAATGGGAGAAAGGAGGGAGGGATGGAAGGAAGGAAAGACGGAAGGGAGGAAGAGACAAAGGAATAAGGAATGGGGAGTACGAATACGACAGAGAAGAGTAAATGTTGCAACAAGCAACAACGTTAAACGCACAAAACGTAAGCAAAGAACGCTGTAAGTAAACACCTACGTAAGCAAATAACGTAAGTTCAAACCTTACCGTAACTCGATACGGCGTAAAGGGACGTAATCCCGTTATTTCATATTTAAATGCTTCATTCTTAATATCCTTTCTGACTATTAAGGTATAATTGATGCCACTTGTGTTAGAGTACACGATGGCATAYTGTCGTATTTTGCCATTAGGAAATGACGGCTTTTCCCACGACACTTTGATGGTGCTTAGACCAACTGAGAACGCTTCTACTTTCTCTGGAGGACTAGGAGCTGCGGAATAAAAAAAAATCGAATATCAGCCAACTTCTATTTGAAATACAGTTTTGACTCAAGGATGAACAATAGCATAGTAATCGCGCCAAGATCCCTGTCAGCTCGCTACGTGATGATCGCTTTTTCAAACAGAAAATAAATAAATAAGGGGAGCGAATAAAAAAGGTGGRGTGGGAGGCATTGCATGGTAGCAGCGCCAAAAGCCCAAAAGGATACTGATGATAGCCTGATATAGAATGATCGCAGAGGCCACTTAAAACTGCCTATGAGTGTATACGGAGCGTGGCTTATATACTCTCTGTAAGGGACTGGTGCGAAGAGGAATATATAACTTACCTCCTTGAGGCATGGATAGMAGCTCTTGACTGCTGTAAGGTCCCCAAAGTACACCAGAGTGTCCGTTTCCAGTTCCTTCCGCGACGCTTAATATATACATAGAATAGGGCCTTAAACCGCTAATACTAATTTCACGATAAGGTCTCAGTTTCCGGACTCTGACAGTCAAAGCCTTTCGTGTTGATCGTCGTTTTCSTTTAACTTTTAACTTATTTGAACGACGTTTTCGTTTTACTTKTGCTATTGTTGACAAGGAAGCGGGAACGTCTATGATCTCATCGTTGTATATGGATAAGTCACGCAATCTCCATCGTAACATAATGCGGAATTTTGCMACGTGACCGTTCAATAGGCGTGGTCGATTCCATTTTAATGTCACGCTGAAGCCACTTGAATTGACCTTGAAATCTTCAGGAATCGATGGAGCTGGAATTAAATAGAGAACGTAGTATCTTAAAGGTCGTTGAATAAGGGGTTGCTATTTATAGCACTGACTATGAAGATAAAAGCGTGACTTGTTTTTATTCAAAGCAAAAACTTATAAAAAAGTATATGGAAAATCTTAACGTTGTCAAGAATCTCTAAGAAGATCGATTCTTAGACCAAACTTTGCTGTTTATRTTTTGAAAGTTATATTCGCATTATGCCGCACTTTATAAACAAATTCGTATACTTATAAGAGCTACCTCTTAGAAACAAAATAATTTTTTCTTTGAAGCCGACAGATGGAAATAGATTTCAAACGTACATTCAACATCATCTCAAGAGGACTGAAAATCGAGATGCGACCGTGGTGCATGCCGGTTGTCCTTGCTTCTTTTTGACYCTTTTAGTGCATAACCTGACTTGTGGACGTAATATCCGCATATCTTTAATTCTACARTATAGAAAGAGACAAAGTGCTATGTAAATACCTGCCATTTTCGTCGTTACCAGAATAGGATCACTGTCCGCCCAGCCTGCATCATTAAAAGCCCTGACCTTGACAGTATAGTTAGAGAAGGCTTGCAGCCCACCAATCACAGTCCATGTAAAATTATGGGCTACAGAGACGCGTGGCATTCTATTGACGAGTTCTACGCAGTCCTGGCGCCTGCAGTAAAATACAGTATAGCCRCCAAGACGTTTTGAGTTCTTCTTTCTYGGCTCCCTCCAGTTGATACTGATGGATGAACGATTAACGGGAAAGCCAATCACATCGTAAGGTTTTGTTGGTTCTATAATGAGCGGAGAGTTTAAGTAAGTTGATTTTTATCAAGAATTAAAAGTAAATTCGGTTGCATTTTTGGATCGAGCTTCCAAAAGCTGGTGCTGTTTTCARAGGGTAATAATGAGCCATGTGGAGCAAGAAAATGGCATGAAAAAATCTAAAGCAACACAAGATGCAAGAAATTTGGACATTTGCATCATCATTAATTCTCGTATGTGAGAAAATCGAGTAAAGATCCGGATGCACGTTAGCATTAATATCAAAACGAATGGCTTTGGCGACAATCTTCTTCACAGTTCTCTGTGCAATCTTGAAAAGTAGCCGTGCCATAACCAGAAAATTTATGAACATGTAATAATAGAACCCTTCTTTCTTTCGCACCTTGACACGATTATTCAAAGGTATCTATTAAAATTACTGCAGGCCCAGTAACCCATAATCTTTCATTATATCCAAAGGTACGCGTTAATTTTTCAAGATGGTCGAGCGAACTGTCAACAAGACAGTTACGATATAAATGATGTAATGATTATTAATTCCACTGACGTCATCTCACCTGCTTCAATGGTTCTCCCATAAATGTCTTTCGGTAAGCTAGTGAAATATTTATTCGAGGCTAAAACTCGTATTTGATACGAAGTATAAGCGTTTAATTTCTTCAGYTCATAGTCKGATTCGTAAGCTTGTAGTGTCTCAATATTCCACGCGTTCGTTCCTTTCTTTCTCCACTTGACTGTGAAATGTGTTATTTCACTTTGTCCGTTGTCCAGAACAGTCCACTGAAACCTGATACTATCTTTGGTCTTTACCAGAATGGCAACATTAATTGGACCAGGTCGATCTATGGAAGAAAAATGATACCAATCACCCTTTCACATACCAGTCAATAAACCGCATAGTCTTGGGAATTGCTTGCAGAATACTGAGGACTTTGGCATGAAACGGTCACATTGTACCAAATCCGCCATATTGGATGGCAAAAGAATGTAAAAAACCTCAAAAACAAAAGGAAAGCAGCCCGTCAAGCTTGACTTCTCCTTTATGAACATCTCAGTAGGTATTTTGCCATCCAGTATGGCGGAATTTGTGTCATGTGACCGTTTCATGCAAAAGGCCTATTAATTATAACTCTTGCCCCTTTTTACATAGAGATCATACATGTATACCGTATACATTTGCGAGTAAGGGTATGCTACCCTGCGCTGTGTTAGACTTACCCACTTTAATGACTGTTACGGTGTGCGAGTCTCTACCGCGTGAATTAAACGCTTCGCAAGTATAATCCCCAAACGCGCTATCGTCTGTCGGCGTAATCTTCAGMGTTCCATCTACTTCGGATTCAGCCACAGGACCGCTGGAATTTATCCATTTGTACTTTGGCTGAGGATTTCCATCGGCCACGCACAGGAGAGTCGCGTTGTAGCCTTTCCATGCTGCCACTCGTACACTGGAGGCAGTTCGGTTTATTACTGGTGGATCTGTATAGGACAATAAACATGTAGGGCATGTTAGAATTCCCTTGGCCGTCTGACATTT